TATTGAGTCTAACTTAATTTCATTATAATTATTTTTTGGGTACCTCGGAAGTAAGTACACTCTATAGGACTTATTAAAATTAAAATAATTTTTTAAAAAAAAATTAGATAAAAGTCCACTTTGAATGAAAATGGTTGTAATACTCTTTAACAACACTCACTAAAGCATCAAAAACCGGTTATTTAACACAAACCTGTTTAACACATATAACATATTTTTACACATGTTCATTGTCATTAAATACATCATTCAATTATTCGTCCAAAATTTTAAATAATTTATTTACAAATGACATATCGAGAACTATATTAGTATAACTGTCATAATATTAAGAATTATATTGTCAATTACCATAATAGAAGAAAAAACTAATAAGTAATAATGTTACGACCACATCAATCATACATAGTAACCAAACTATACTGCCATAAATGGGTTTATAATGTTGTTTGTGGTATTCAAAATATTGTAAAATCACTTATTGAAGTTTCTGATTTGAATCATGTAATGTATAACAAAACAGTAATAATAAAGAGTTATACAGAAACAGGCTTATACGATAGAGTTACACAAAAGAGTTCTAGTAGTTTAACGAAACAGTAATAGAAAACTAATATAATTACTAATCCGGTTGTATAATAGGAACTGTTATTGAAGTTGATATAGATCAAGACTAGTGTTTGACATTATATCCTTAAGACAAATTTCGCCTCCACACACGGTGCTTATGGAATATCGAGTGTTTGCCTCCGAGGATATAATGATCTTTCCACGAGTAGAAGTAGCACTTCAATCTACTCGTCCAACGAACTAAAATTATATTGTGTACTTTCCAAATGCAAACTGTCGAAAAATAGACAATTGAATGAATTGAACAAATGCATGCATGAACTAGGTATTTATAGACACTTTGGTGACTTTCGAACAGCAATCATACTAAAAGACACAACCCAAAATAAACACAACAGCTAGCAGTTACCACTGTTTTAACTCTTCTGTATAAACAGACACAATCCAAATTTTTGAACTAGAAGGAAGCAAAAAACCAACAGAGTGTGATCCAATGGATACCGAAAGTAAATTTCGGGCTAAGAAATTCATGTCCAATTAATTAAATAAATTTTCTCCAAAAAGATAGAATTTGGTCTAAACCACACCCACACCCATACCTGTATTGAAGCTCGAGCTCGGCCGGGTCGTTGCGTGGCGAGGCGAGGCACGCGCACGCGTGTGTGGTCAAACCGAAGGTATGTAGGCACTCACTCCGTTTATAAACCTGTGGTACCCCTTGGGGCCTAATCTCATAGAACAAACTTGGTCTATATATGTCCATGTTAAATTTATTTCTTGTGGGATTGATGTCAAATTCCACATTGCACAAACTTTATTACCACATTTCAAGAAGGTCATTTTAGAGCCTATTTTCTCATTTATTTTTTACTCGATTTAAACAAGTGAATATACTACATTATTCTTCTTACGGAATAAAATATGAACCCACAAAAGTTTATTAAAAATAACGAGCAGGTTCCACTTTAATTTAGACTCAAAGTCGACCAAAAATTTAGTTTATATACTTAAAAACTGTTTTGGTCCAACATATAATAGGTTAGGTCGGGTTCGTGTCCGAATCATATCAACCTATTTAAAATATACGAGTTAATCAGATTAAAATCGGGTTGACCTAATTTTAACATGAACCTGACACGATTTTTTTTGTGTTTAAGTGTGTTGACTCATTTTAACTTATTAACTCGTTTAATTTTGTGTCAGTCTCATTAATTTCGTATTTGACTTATATCGTATTAAAAATTGACAGCCTTATATATGTGTATCTATTGTCTGTGTGTGTGTGCAAAGAGATAAAAAAAGGTATTTGGGTTCGTTCCTAGCAGAGGAGAGAGAGAGATTGAGCGATCGCTATAGGTGTGCGTTATGTGGGTGTGTATGAAAGGAGAGAGAGAGACGGACGTTTGAATTATGTGGCGTATTTGATAAAAAAAAATGGGTGGAGTGTGTGTAGGTAGATGAATTTAAACAAGGTTTGAACCGTGTATTTAAATTTCAATTAAATTCTAGTCGTTCTTCTTTGGAAATGATGATTACAATTAAAAAAGTTCAAAAAAAAATTAACGTGATTTCACTTTATACATTAATTTTGTATTTTTAAATATTAAAAGTATTGTAATGTAATATTTTCATTAGTTTCTATTATTCATTCTATCAAAGTCAATGCAATGATTTTTTACAAAATAAGCAACAAAAATTAACGAAAGGATTGCATTAAAATTTTAGAGTACAAAATACAAATTTTTAAATATTTCTAGATGCAAAGTGATATTCTCCCAAAGAAAATATGGTATTTGTTTCGCTTTCACTGTTTAACATTGGCTTCGATTTTGGATTTTGTCAATGCTCAGGAAAGTTTTGACGTATGATTTGATGGGCGATGCATTACATAGTCATTGCTTAGTAGTTCATACATAATTTACCCTAAAGACTTCGTTGATAGTTGTTGTTGTTGTTTTGTTGTATGTACCCTTCAAACAAGTTGAACAAATGATAATTTACTCTGAAGAGTTGGTTGAAATTTATTTTTCATGAATTTTATTTTTGACGTAGATGATTTGTCTATGTCCAAATTGAATAGGAAATTAATCGAGGTGCTCATAAATTGACCCCAATATCTCTAATCATTGAACAAAAAAAATTGTAAGGATTAATGTATTATTAGCTTTAATTTTGTTTATCAACAAAAATATGACATAAACATGAAATGAAATTAAAATGACATGACCGGGTACGAGGTTACGTGACCCAAATAACACGTCCAGAGAATATAAAATCTTGATTTGAACTTCAATTCTCATACTTAGTTTGTGTGATATTTCCACGCGTGATAGGCTCCGGGAAAAAAGCGTGTGACTTGACCAATCTTGTCCAATAGAGACTATGTCACATCAGTCTTCAAAAAAAAATAATAATAATAATTTGAGTCATTGTTATGTTTTCTGTAAATATGACTATGTGTGTTTATTATTCAAACTTTGAATTTTACAGAAATATTGGGCATTTTTGTATATTTTATTCTGGCCCCGCCAAGTCGAGAAAGATAAGCAAATAAAAGATTTCATTGGACATGTGGACCACACACATACAATTCAATGAATAATGTTATTGAAATTTAAAAAATTAATTTATAATTCTATAATGACGTGATAATAACATAATTCAATATTATTATTGTGATTGTATTTATTGAAATTTTTTATTAAAATTATTTAACACATCATTAAATTAATAAATTAAATTAATTTTTTTAATATTAATAGCATTACTCAATATACATGTTTTTTTTTATGATATAATTTCAATTTTTGTCCATAATATTTTTACGCAAATAATAACTCGTGTTTAAAGGTATGTTAGCACATAAAATTCGAGTCTCAAAAAATTGATATCATTATATTAAATAATAATTTTTTTTCTTTCTTTTATTTCTTTGATAAATAATTCAAATTTTATTTTTACCCCATTAATTTTTAAAAATATTGACAAAATTTTTTCAAAATATATAATTTGATAATTTTTTTAATATATGTATATTATCGTGTATGAATAATGTTTGAAAAAAAAATTATGTTAAATTATAAATTAATTAAATATTAAATAATTGAATATATGATAAAAATGAATGATATAATGATTTTAGGAGAAAGGCAATGTACAGGGGATAAAAGGGAATCTTCATTCCTCTTCCCTCGATAAAGGTACCATTGCTGTCTCTCAGCACCGTCCCAACAGCGAATTCTTTGTTTTACTTTCGAATGCGTTCAGATTTGGGAGTAGAGGGGACTTCCATTTGATTGTATCGAGTATAGTCGGTGCACGAGACTCTCATAATTATGGACTCTGTAGATTCTTCAATCGCTTCACCTGTGAATGTAACCACTGCCTTCAATGGCCTTGTCTATTGCTAAATTTGCTATCCTCCTCTTGGCTTTCTTTCCATTTCAACTGCCATGTTCAAGTGCAAAAATATGGATCAGATCTGGATACTGGTTCTCAGGCAGTGGTTTACCCATCACAGATATTAACTCAGCTCTCTACACCCACCTTATCTGTGCTTTTTCAGGCCTCAATTCTACCACACACCAGCTTTCAATCTCTTCGTCAGATAACCCCTACTTCTCTGCCTTCACACGCACTGTCAAACTAAAAAATCCATCAGTTATTACTCTTCTGTCCATTGGTGGTGGCCTAGCCAACTACTCAGTTTATTCATCAATGGTTGGCCGATCCTCCCATAGGAAGTCCTTTATTGATTCTTCAATAAAAACAGCAAGATTATATGGGTTTGATGGCTTAGATTTTTCTTGGGTTTCTGCAAGTGCTGGCTCAGACTCAGACATGACCAATATAGCCAACCTTTTGGACGAATGGCGAACAGCTATAGAATACGAATCCAGAAACTCTAGCAATAATAGTACACAACTTATTTTAACCATGGCTGTTCGGTACTCACCAGATCTTGATGCTACAGGTTTTCCGGTTGAGTCTATAAGGAACAACTTGAATTGGGTTCATGTAATGGCATATGATTACTACAAGCCCAATGGGACGAGTCACACGGGTGCTCATGCTGCTTTATATGATCCAGGGAGTGTACAAAACACAGATTATGGTATAAATTCTTGGATAAACAGTGGATTATCAGCTGACAAGCTGGTTTTGGGTTTGCCTTTCTATGGCTATGCATGGACACTTGTGAACCCAAACAACAGTGAAATTGGTGCACTAGCAAAGGGACCCGCAATTACTGAAGATGGGTCAATGAGCTATAAGGATATCAAAGGGTATATTCAAAGATATGGAGCTGTTTCAATGTATAATGCAACTTATGTGGTGAATTACTGCACCATTGGATCGACTTGGATTGGTTTTGATGATGTTGAGGCTGTCAAAATTAAGGTTGCTTATGCTAAGAAGAGGAATTTACTTGGCTACTCTGTGTGGCAAGTCGCACATGACGACAATTGGGTGCTTTCTGAAGCAGGTGAACATTATCTTCTTGATATCTGGTGATTAGAATTTGGGTTAATCTTATTTTGTACCTTAAAAAATTTTTCAAATATTAATTTATACCCCCAAAGATCAAAAATCTCAATTTACACCCTCAAAAATAGAAATTTGTAGTAATGTGCACCCCCAAAAATCAAAAATTTTAATTTGCACCCTCAAAAATAGAAATTTATATCAATGTGCACCCCAAAAATAAAAAATCTCAATTTACACCCTCAAAGATAGAAATTTGTATCAATGTGCACCTAAAATTAAATTAATAAATTATACCTAGATCCCCTCATGTTTGTTACTTAATCATTTGAACTCCTTCACATTTAGAATATTTCTCTTACATCTCATGACGTTTGTGCATGTGTAACACATAACCACTTTTTGTTGATATCTGTTAATATAATCGTTAAAAAATATGATTTTATCCTAATAAAAAATTATAATTTCATATTACCTTTTATTTTGTAGATTCGATATACTCTAAAGTTGAAAATCAAGCTTACCATTTGAATGTCTAATAAAATGTAGATATTTATATAAAAGGTAATATGAAAAATATTATATAAATATTTACATTTTATTAGACATTCAAATGGTAAACTAAATTTTGAACTTTAGAATATATTGAACCCATAAAATAAAAGGTAATATGAAATTATAATTTTTTATTATGATAAAATTATATTTTTTAACGGTTATATTAATAGATATCAATGAAAATGAGTTACGTGTTATACGTGCACAAATGTCATAAGATGTAAGAGTAATATTCTAAATGTGAAGAGGTCTAAATGATTAAATGACAAGTATGAGCGGATCTAAGTATAATTTATCAATTTAGTTTTAGGTGCACATTGATACAAATTTTTATTTTTGAGGGTATAAATTGAGATTTTTTATCTTTGGGGTGCACATTGATATAAATTTCTATCTTTGTGGGTACAAATTGAGATTTTTGATCTTTGGGAGTGCACATTGATATAAATTTTTATCTTTGAGGGTATAAATTGAGATTTTTGATCTTTGAGGGTGTAAATTGAGATTCGAACAATATTTCAGGATGCAAAATGAGATTAACCCTTAAAATTTTCAATTTTAACAAACAAATACCAATATAATACGAATTCGAAAATGACACAACCAATTTAGTTAGACACAAATAACCCGTGTAACAGGTATCGTACGTAGAAAATGTATGATTTTTTTTTTTTTTGTAGTTTTTCCATTTCTTTCAATATTATTATATGAAAAATTTTGAATTAAATGCCTTTTTTTAATTATTAATATAGCATTTGTTTTGCCTTTTCTTTTCTAGATTTGTTTATTTCCTTAATTGCCTGTATACTAGTGTATTATTTAAATACTTTTTTGGTTTTTTTTTTTTAACAAAAATTGCCTTTTGCTTAAAGAAAATATTTATACAACTAATAAAAGTACCTTAAGATGAAAAAATTTTAAATCTTTATTTTTTCCTTATAAAAAAATGCAAAGACTGTTCTTTCCTTTTACAATTAAGTAATTTAGATACAATCATATTTTTATATATTTAAATTTCTAAATTATCTATAACATCTCTTTTAATTATCTATTCTCTTTGTATAAATATCAGCTTGTATAAAATTTTTGATTGACTATATTACTCTTAAAAAAATATATTGCATCATTATATTTTCAATAAAATGTTTAAAAAATCTTTAAAAACTCCATCAATTTAATATTACTCATCTCATATACAAAATTAAAATTATACCTTCATATGTGTATTTTCTTTTAAATTAAAAAGTTTAACCATTTTATTTCTGAGATAAAAAATAATCGTATATATAATTTTTTTTTAAATTTAATTTATATTACATCAATATAATTTTTCACTGACAATAAATTTTCTAAGTTATACTAAGATTTTATATATATATAAAAAGATATTATAGTGTATTTTTAAGTAAAATTTAAATTTTTTAGAATTTTTATATGCTTGAAAACATATATTATAGAGTAATATGTTAAATCTTATCAAATTTGACTTAATTAATTCCTAATTACAGTAAGGTTCTAATATAATTAGTATATTGACCAAAAAACTAATTTCTCAAATATTACTAAAAAAATAATATCAATCACAAAATTTTACAAAAATAGAATTTTAACTATTTTTTTTTATATTTGGAACAAAAAATTTGGAGAACATACAAAGTTTTTATAATCCTTATAATATAATATGAGTAATAAAAAATTAAGTTTGATAAATTTAAGATGATATTTAATTCAGATACATATATATCTAATATGTTTTATTAATTTTTGTATATGAAAATTATTCACGTGCAACGCACGTGATGTATTACTAGTACTTTGAAAAAGTGTTATTAAATGTTGTATGTATTAATCCAGATAAAAAAAAAAACACTGTATTAATGATTTTTCTCACTTGTCTCTGATTTTCCTCAATATTTTAACTATGTTTATAGCTCAAGAAAAGGAGAACGATCATCAAAACAAGCGGAAGCGGCCATTGCTCCTAATTATTTTGCTTCCAACAACAGCAATAGTACTTCTCTTACTAGGCTCTGGGATGTTGTACCGACGGAGGAAATTGATTATAAGCATATTTAAAGGTAACATTTCTAAATAGACAAATAACATTTTGCATCCCGATAAATTTTCAAATTCTCAATTTACACCTAGAAAGATTAGATTATAAGCATATTTAAAGGTAACATTTCTAAATAGAAAAATAACATTTTGCATCCGATAAATTTTTAAATTCTCAATTTACACCTAGAAAGATTAAATTTCTCGCATTGCACTCTCAATCTAAGAAAACAGAGCATATGGTCTTTTTTAATAGAAATGTGTACAAAATTTTCATGCAAAGCTTCAAATTGAATAATTTACAAATAATTATGTACAAAAGTATGAAAATATATAAGGGTGCAATGCAATTGGTATCTCCTTATTGGAGTGAGGGTGCAATGCGAAAAATTATGATATTTCATCATAAAAATTCAAAATGCAAAGGTCTTTCAACATCTAAAGTGTACGAAATTAAGAGATTAACATGCATATTCCTTCATGTCATGTGTGTTGTGCTCATGAAATGGTGGGGTACAGATAAGAATTCAGAGTCCAAAATGGAAACTACTATGGCAGCTGCTGCAAGTACAGATGCTCCTAATTTGCGAGTATTTAGTTTTGGTGACATTAAGGCAGCAACAAATGACTTTTCGTTCGAAAATAAGCTTGGAGAGGGTGGGTATGGACCCGTTTACAAGGTAAATATTTTATCTTGTACACTTGTGGATAAATATTGATGTACTAGTTATTGTCTTTGTCTGAAGTTACAAAGTAATAAAAATTGATAAATAATAAAAATATTTATATTCATATTCAAAATTAAATCACAAACATAGAGAAGAGATAAAAGAATTTAAGTATTGTTTTGTAGTGGAAGTGAAAGGTGATGGGTAGCAGTGGTGGTGGTAGGAGACGGTAATAGTTTTGGTGGGTGATAATGACTATGGTGGCGGTGAGGGTGGCGATAGCAACAATGGTGGTGGTGGTGGTGGTGGTGGCGACAGCGGTGGTAGTGGCAATGGCGGTGGCGGTGGCAGTGGGGACTGTGGTGGTGGCAGGGTGGGGGGTGGCGGTGGGGGTGGTGGCGACAGCGGTGGCGGTGGTAAGGGTAGTGGCGGTGGGAGTAGTGGTGGGGCGGTTTCAAATACTATTTTTTTAAAATATTTATGATAAATAATTTCTAAAAATATTTTTAAAAAATCACTCTAAACACATCCTTAAGGATCTATTTTTCGTATTAAATTTTGGGTGTTAATATTAGCCGTTAGATTAACTTTAAAGTAAAATTTAAAACGATTTCAATCGCGAATAACAAAAGTCATTTTATTTATTTTTTAAAATTTAAATTGTAAGTTATTTTATTATATAAATTTTATATTTTGGTTTTTCGCTCAAGTGATACGGCACAAGTTAGAGTCTAGAATTAGCCTCCTACTTATATCAACCAGACTCTTTTATAGATGCGAGTCCTATGTAGAATCTGGCTAAGAGGTAGTGAAGCATTAATGCACATTGGTGGTGTATACTTTGCAGGGTAGGTTGAAGGGACATGAAATAGCAGTGAAAAGACTTTCAAAAACTTCTAAACAAGGAATTGAAGAGTTTAAGAATGAGGTCATACTTACTGCAAAGCTACAACACATAAATCTTGTGAGAGTTCTGGGATTTTGCACTGAAAGAGAAGAAAAGATGCTGATCTATGAGTACATGCCCAACAAAAGCTTGGATTTCTATATCTATGGTCAGTAATGCATAATTCTTCAAATGTTAACATAATTGCAAAAAAATAATGAGCAATATAATTGAACACCTGCTAGAGGTATCTCGAGTTACAGTTTTGTTCCACATTCAATATTCCATTCCCACTTCAAAGAATTATTGCTTATCATATGTAAGGTTAGTCCTTTTAAACTTCTAGAGGTGCAACATCACACAATGTCTGTGTTGTCTTCACGTAGACGTGTATGTTAGTCTAGTTTGATTCATTTTACTTGCAAAAGTTTGTGGGTTATTATTCCCATAATTTGGATGTAGATCCAATAAAGCGATTACTTTTAGACTGGGGAAAACGTGCTCGCATCATTGAAGGGGTTACTCAAGGGCTCTTATACCTCCAAGATTACTCGAGATTAACGATAATTCATAGAGATCTGAAACCTAGCAACATTTTATTGGACAACGAGATGAAAGCCAAGATATCAGATTTTGGAATGGCAAGAACGTTTCACAAAGATAAATTTGAAGCAAACACAAGCCGAATAGTTGGAACATAGTAAGTAAAATGTCTCTCAAAACCATATCAAATATGTGCCCGATCTATTTGTTAATTACTTACTAACAAAGTTTTATTTGTTGTTGATCCATGCAATGCAGTGGTTATGTTCCACCCGAATACGTAAAACATGGAATGTACTCTATAAAATCCGATGTTTTCAGCTTTGGGGTTTTACTTCTTCAAATCATAAGTGGGAAGCAAAATTCATGTTTACATGGTCCACTTGAAAACTTGAACCTTCTTGAATATGTAAGTTATTTGCAAAACTTTTGTATGACCATTGAAACTTGAAACATTTCTTTCTTTATATGGATTATGAAGATTGAGATTACGTTGAATTATTCTCAGGCGTACGAGCTGTGGAACGATGGAAAAGGCATCGAGTTTATGGATCCAACTCTAGATGACACAGCTTCGTTGTGTAAGTTGATGAGATGCATGGTAGTTGGCCTGTTATGTGTCCAAGAAAATCCGGTGGATAGACCATCCATGTTAGAAGTTTCGTCGATGCTTAAAAATGAAACAATGGCAATTACTTCTCCCAAAAGGCCTGCGTTTTCTACTAAAAGCAATGGAGATGGAGAGAATGCATTCAATCCACAGCAAGAAAATTGGTCAGTTGATAAGGCATCGATCACCCAAATGGTAGCTCGATGAGGGTTTATCTTTTGTAACAGACAGGTTTATAAGTAAGGTTGTCAAAACAAGTATCGCAACGCGTATTGTTTTTCAAAAATAATTTATAGTGTAATGTGACATACGTTAAATATATACTCATAAATATTTAAATATATGGTATTCAATATATCATGTCAACTCACTTATCAGTCGGTGATATACATATATGACATAGAGATCGAATTATAACTAGGATTTTGTTTATTTAAAGAAGGAGGATAATAGCGGATACAGGATTTTTCGAAGGTCAAACCAAAAAAGAAAAAAAAATTAACTTCTCGGAATCAACATCATTTCACTGTTTAGGGTTAAAAATAAGAGTCTTACAAAATGATGTCTTTTCATTCTTTAGAGTACGAAATAAAAAATAACGGCCTTTGTGTGTGTCATTTTTTCATTATATTGAAATATATCGCAAGCTTCATATTATTTATCGTATAATATAGTGCAAAAAATGGCATAACTCACTAATACATATCATTTTTTCATTGTATCAAGACGTATTACAAAATACGTATCGCATATTATAAAATATTAAGAATTATAGGTTTTTTGGGGTGGCCTTGGTTGACCATGGAGGAAATTTATATAAGTAAGCTAGACTTTGCCATGCTGACCATGACTTCTATAATTCAACATATATGGTCATACCTTTTTCCATATTATACATTACTATTAACAAGTATTTTTTTCCAACGAGTTGTGTGTTGCTTGCTTTATTTTTTGTCAATATTACTTGAACGTAATGTATTACGTGGAATTCCATTTGCTAAGGTATGTAAATGAAGTAATTAGACTGAGAATTTGATAGTCTCTCTCCAACCCTTACATGCTCATCATAGGTTTTTATGGTATTCTGAGCAGGGTGTTTCTTAAAAAGTGCTACCTAGGTTTAAGCAGTTCATTTGGGACATAGAAGATCAATTGAGCATGCAAATGTTGTTATAGAACTCAAAAACAACAAGGTGAACAATTATTTGGTTTTGAACATGAAGAATAAGGAAAACAATTTTTTTTTTCTATTTATGGTACGTGTAAAAAAAACTTCATGTTGATCGCAGATGGGTGAAATAACATTTACAGTAATTAGTAGGGAGATCACATTCAATCCCAGGAGGGAGAGATTCAAGTGATCCAACAACAGAGAAAATTGGATCGAGTCTAGAGTAGGATAATGAGTATAAATTGAACCACCCTTACGGCCCTCATGTATTAGTATATACACAAGGCACCCATTTAGAGGAATGCTCAACCCATTGTAAGGTTTGTGATTGTTAGCACAAGGTTCAAATCTAAATCACTTCTCTCTCTCTCTCATGCATGAAAAAATAATCGTCAACCATTACATTCATTCTTGAGGCACAAGTTCAAGTGGTAATACGATTCAGTGAGAAATCTCCTAAAAAAAAAGTTCACAAAAATAAATTAGAATTCGTCGGTCAATGCCTGGGGGATCCACCTAACAGAAAGAGAAGAACAATTGTCTCACTATCAAGCTATCAAATTTCGTCCAGCTGAGGGTAGGAAGAATCAAGATTACCACATTTTCTTAGTTAATGAGGAATTGATTTCCATCCAGTTATTTGTGACTACAAATGCCAGTTGGTTAGTTAATGTCCTTCTCAATTTGAAGGTGTGGAGGACTTTTCAAAATCTCCATGGAAAAAATTTTCACCCTGTACAAGAGGAATTGATTTTCCACCAATCCAATGTTGCCATGTTCTGTTTGGGCACCCACCAAACCTCAATAATTCCTGGTGTCTTGTCGAGCCAAGCAAAGATATTGATTGACTTGGTGAAGGACCACATAAGGGGAATGAGTAAACTTTTCAATCTCCAAGTATAAGTTCATAACTTAAATAAGTCATCTTAGGATTAAATGAGATTAATTATGGTCTATATTAAAAAATTGTGGATCGATGCTAGCATTTATGATTGCCGTTAAGGCGTAAAATTTCAACATGTTTGAGTCATAACTTGGCTCAATTGAATCATACTTTTTTTAAGTTCAATAAATATCGTACTCAAGACAAATAATGTCTTCTTAGGTTGGATATCTAATATATCTTACATCAAGCACCCAATGCCTTCAAAGATGAGATGTCTAGAATATCTTACATCCTATAACAATGTAAATTCTTTTTTTTTTTTCCATTTTCTAGAATTTTAGTAGACGTGACATTCACTTATCTTTAACCATTGTATCTCAAATTTTCCTATTCAACCAAATCCCTATCTATTACCTTTTAAACTCGCATCTTTCTCTTGCTAAAAATAGAACTAGTGTCACAGGTAGAAACAAGAGAGCAGATTAGAAGTTGGGTCGTGTCTGACTTATCAATGTAAAACTCCATTAATGGAAAAAACTACAAACACAACTCTATGAGAGAGAGAGAACAATAGTAATACTTTTTCACACTACAAAAGGAGGTTTAGACATGACACAACCAAAGGACATGCATAATCCTCTTGCACTCCCCCTCTTTCTATTCGTAATCAAATTTCCGGTAAAGCCCATTAGCAAGAAGTAACAGGTAGGTTTTAGGCCCAATCAATTAACCTAACAGAATAAAAAAAAATAAAAATTTTAAAAAATAAAAATAAAAAAGTAGGCCACGGCCTATAGCCAACCCAGTGGGTCATTCACTCGCTTGCCATTGTCGCTGTGAGAATGTGAGAGAAAAGATGTTAGATGAGGATTGAGGACTAGTGTTAGAGATGAGAGGCGTGAGAGATACAATTACAGAGGAGTTGAGGCTGAGGCTGAAGGATGGGAGGTGTGCGTTAGAGTGAGTCTGAGATATGGGAGATATGAGGTGAGGCTGAGGCTGAGAAACTTATGTCTTTTTTTTTGGGAATTTATAGTGTCGTTAACAAGTTAAACGGTTTAAAACATATTTATGGGTTAAACACAAAAACCAATTCATTTATTTCACTTATCTGTTGAGTTAATCCGTTAAGACAACACTCAGACTGAGTAAATCTGTGTTGGTTTTATGAGTCATGTCTAGAATTAGACCATCTCCAATGAAAATTCAAATTTTTACCTAAATTTGAAGAAAAAAAAATGGTAAAATGCTTGATTTTGTATAAATATCTCCAATGAAGAAGAAAAAACCTAAATTTAAAATAGAGTAAAATATGACAATTGAATCTTTAAAGGATGGTGAAATTTCATCATTAAAGATTTGGGTATAGATTTGGTTCTCTCTTGATTTGGGTTTAAAAAAATTTTTTTCTTCATTTGATATAAGCATAGGTCTAGCATTAAAAAAATATTTTAAACTATTTTTATCTAAATTTAAATTTAGGTATAAAAACGGGAAAGGGCTGGAGATGCTCTTACCATACCTAGTATGATACTGATGGGTTGCTCCGGATCACCCTGTTAACTCGTAATTCATCCGCTGGCTTGGCCCTTTCTAATGCATTGACTAGTGAGCCGGGCTAGCCCGTCCCGTTACCAACCTTTAGCCCAATTAGCTATGTTGTCTCTCTCTCTCTCTCTCTAACTTTTTTTTTAAACAGAGGACAACTACAACCAACGCGGTGAAGGCTCTCTAAACTAAATTACACCAAAATTGGCAAATTCACTTCAATGAAAAGGGATTTATTCAGCCGAGATGGTGGCTTCGGGTTTGTCTGTGTTTTGGGTGCGTGTCTCCCTCTGAGAGAGAGAGAGAGAGAGAGAGAGAAAGAGACCACGGTTCTGCAATCAACTTGCCATGATAGATCCCTATTCATGGTGGAGTGGGTTTAGCCCCATTCTCACAGAGAAAATGATTATTTTTTATCTCCAATGGTATTTTAACATCAATTCTAATGGATAAACATGATGTTCAAGAGCTTGTTTTTCAAAATCGTTGAAAGTTTCAAAGTTCAAGTCTTCCTCTTGGGGTTATTTACGACTATTTCAATCTACATGCCCAATAATGGGGACTTCTTAAATAGAGTTATGAGTTCATAAAACTAGTGTTGCTACAGGATTCTTTAGTGCATCTTGACAAGGAAACTGCAATTCCTTGTATATTTCTAATGGTTCCTAATGTAATGACAAAATCTCTTCGTGTCCAAATGATACTAAAAAGACCGTTAAATTGCAATTGTTTGATGCTTTAATTTAATTGCAAGAAGTGGTATTTATTTTCTTTGACGTGTTTTTCTCATTTGCACAATCCTCTGGTTTTCAATTTGATTTGGTGAAGACAAGAACTGGATCGACGTGATCTCAATCTTTGTTTTGACAATGCTTTGATGAATTTGGTGAAGACAAAGGGTAGATTGGTGTATCTCTTGATCTTTAATTTGGTGGAGCTTTGGTGGATTTGATGAAGCTTTGATGGATTTGGCGAAAACAAGTACGAATCAGATTATCTCTTGATCTTCAATTTGGCGAAAACAAGGACGTGTCTCTTGATTTTTGATTTTGGTAGATTTAATGAAGACAAGGGCTAGATGTGTCTAATCTTAATTTTTGAATTGATGCTGATGTGGGTGAATTTTGTAAAGACAAAAGTAGAATGAGTGTGTCTCTTGGTCTTCAATTTATTTATGTTTTAGTGGATCTTTTCACCATACTTTTGTGATGATTGGTTTGAAGATGATTTGAATCTCTCAAAAAAAGGACATGTATGTGAGTGAACGGGTAAATTGATTCACTCTCCTTTTTTTTCTCTAAGACTTTTTGGTTTTCGACTTTACAACTGGCATTTTGGTTTCTTAGCCTCCCCTTTCCCTTTCCTTTCCCCCCGACTCTTATTTATAGAGTTTGGGTTGTCAAAGGGGTATTTTAGTAATACTCATATGTGGGCTTCATGAGTTGGACTTGTATGTAATTATGAACTTTAATGAATTTGGACTTAAGCCTTAATGAATTTGGACTTAAGGTCCAATCCAATTTAGTTTTATAAGCTTGGCCTTATGGTTGGTTGGGCTTTTGTGATGTGTTTGAGCCTTATTTGTTTAGGCTTTATTTGATGTAGAATTGGGGCTTAGAGAGGCCAGTCCTTTTTTGTAGACTTATTAGGGAATAAGTACATTTTGATTTTCATTGTCCAAAATTCCCTCAATAGTTATATTTAGTTAAAACTTGTTTGAAAAAAATAACAACTCATAAATTAGAAATTGTATTAGTATTAACAACTCATATCTTGAAAATTGTGCTAGCATTAAAATTATACATATATATATATATATATATATACTAGTTATTTCCCGTGTCGAATAATAAAAAAAAAGTTAACAATAAATATATTTGTATTCACACCCAAAATCAAATTACAAAGTTAGAGGAGATAGAAAATAATTTAAGCACCGATTGTAGTAGGGGCGAGCGGTGGTTGTGGTGGTGGGCGACAGTGATGACGGTGGGAGACAATGATAGTTGTGATGACAACTAGTTATGATGGTGGCAGTCGTGAGTGACAATGGGGATGGTAGTTGTGGAGCGGTGGGGGTAGTGGTCACGGTGAGACAGTGATGGTAAGATAATGACGATAGTGATAAGGTGGCATCAGCGATAGTGGTGGTGGTAGCAGTTGGGATGGTGGTGGGGTGACAATGGTGGTAAGGTGGCGACAATGGTGGTGATGGTGATGGCGGTGGTGGGTGTAGTGGTCGTGGGGGGTGGCGACAGTGGTTGTGGTTGTTGTGGTAGACGTGGTGGCGACAACAGTGGCAGCGGAGGTTGTGGTGTGGCGATGGTGATGGTGGTTTATAGAAGAGGTGATGGTTGGGTTGTAGCGGTGATGGTGGTAGCGATGGTGATGGTGGTGGTGGGGTGGTGGGTAGGGTGGTGGTGGTAGTTGTTGTGGCAGAAATGATGGTGTGGTGGCAGTAGTAGTGGTGGTGGTGGGCGGTAGTTGTGGTGGTGGTACTAATGATGGCGGGGGGGGGGGGGTAGTGTGGTAGTTTTAAACATTAATTTTTTTTTAAAAGTACTTATGAAAAATTATAAATTTTAGAAACACTTTTAAAAAATCACTTCAAACACATCCTTAGGGACCTATTTTTTTAATTAATTTTAGATTGTTAATATTAGCAATTAGATTAACTTTAAAGTAAACTTTAAATAGATCTTAACTGCGAATAGGAAAAGTCATTTTGTTTATCTTTTCAGATTTGAATATATATATATATATATATCATTTCAAAATTCAAATGATACACAAAAATCAAAAAGAATATTAACCCCTTGTTTGGTTGGAGGGAAAATAGAAAAGATGAAAAATAGAGGAAGGAAAGTGGGAGGGAAGGAAAATGTTTCCACTGTTTGGTTTGGTATGAAGGGAAAATGGGAGGGAATGAAAAATGGAAGACAAATGCTTTTCCTTGAGCCCATCAAACATTTTTCTCTCAAAAATGGGCGAAAAATGGACTGAAAATGGAGGAAAAATGGGCTTTTTGTGAATTGACTATTTTACCCACCACTGCTTCAGTGTTCACCAACGAGCAAAGTCACTGTCGCCTTCACCATTGATTCAAGAGCAAGAGAACTAGATCCTCTCTTTGTCAAGAGAGAAAGATAGAGAAGGAAAAGGAAAAAAAAGAAATGGAGAAGAAGATCTAATACCCAAATGGGCATTTTTCAAACCCCGTTTGGAACTAATCGGACTAGTTTCCATGAAAAGCAAATTCACTCCCTTTTGGAACTACAGACAGCGCCATAGCATCATTAGAGAAGCCCCTTCTTTCTTCTTCTTCATCATCGCAGAAACTCTAGCATCGCAGATGAGTCAAAGACTGAAATCCCTCCCAGCAAGCCTTCAACAACCAACATGGACTCCAAGACCCCCATTGTCTATTTGTCTCTGTCTCTGTCTCTCTCCCTTTCTCCCTCCCACCCAGACCCCCATCATCGCAAGAACCCCTATCGTCGATGTCTGAAGTCTGAGTCTTTTTTTTTTATGCACAGAACATGTATGGCTTTGGCCTTTATTGATGAAGGAGACCTAAAAAATTTATTTGTCTCCCCTTTTTTTTCCTTTTCTCTTTTGGTTTCCAATAGTCTCATAATTCAAACCGTTTAGATCTAATTTTTTTAATTATATAATTTTTAGTATTTAACACATAATATAATTAGAACTTAATTTATTAAGTTTATTTTTGTATATGTAATGGAAGATTTAATAATTAAATGTACATAATGAAAAAAATATATATAATTTCTAGTTAAATACACATTAAATAATTAAATGAAGAATTTCTTTATAAATAAATTTTATTTTTGATTTTATTTCAATAAATGATACAACATAACATAAATTTTGGTTGTAAAATTTAAAATATTTAATATTTCATCTTTGATTGGAGTATTTTTGGTTTAAGTATAATATTTTAAACTTAAAGGGTTTAAATATTATATACTTATACACTTTAAGAGATTTAAGTATAATTTATTAACTGATATTTATAGCATAGATCTAAGTGTCACGCTTGTTCAAACCTCAGAAGTCTGTGTAAAATATTTCAAATGTCAAATTGTCTAAGTGTAAATTTTGAAGCTTATCAATAAAATTTACTTTAAAAAAAAATCATGCATTTTGGTTTATTTTCTTTAATCTTATTCATGTAATTATATGCGAGGGTACAATGATAAATTTGATATATGTATTTTTCCTATCCATCTAATTTTTCATCCAATACCAAACAAAAGAAAATACATCCCTTCAATTTTTCATCCATCATATCAAACATAATGAGGAAAAATATATTCCTTCCAACTTTTTATCTTTCAATTTTTCATCATTCCTACCAAACGGACCATAAAAGTTTCACATTCTAATATTTAGGGTATTGAAAATATAAAAGCTGTCAATTAGGTATGCACTATTTATAGTAAAAGTAATTATGAAATACATTTCAAAAAAAATTTGAAAATATTTTAAAATGTGTACTTATTGTCAACTATTTGATCAAAAAAAAGACTTAAAAGAGGATAAGTTTAGAAGTGATACTTAAAGTCAAATAAATTTTGAAAAAGTTCTCACGACCCATTATCTCTAGAATTTATTTATTTGGGCTTTTTTTGTTTGGGGCTAAGGCATTTTTAGACCCAATTCAACTTACTTCCATATTTATGGATCGAGCATTAGTTTTTATTTGGGCTTATGGATTTAGGTCCAGCCCAATTTGATTTGATTTTAATTTGTGTTTCAATTATAGACATTATTAATTTTTTAATGTCTATACCTATTTCCAGGGCACAATCACTCGGCCATGCTAGAGCTCTTTGGCTGAATGGTGTTGATAAAGCGTGCACAGTGACTCAATCTGGTTCACAATTTCAAACACTGAAAAGTCTTCTTCCAGCCACCATGTCGAGTTTTGATGTAAGGTTAGGTCAGAAGTTTCACAGAGTATTTGATATTGTTCATTTGATTGTCCACTCTATCGTGAGGCATAATTATTTGTTTTTTTTTTTTTTTAGCGTGCAAGCTATGCTGAAGCATAATTTGGAAGAAACTAGCATTCAACATTTTCTTATTAACAAGCCTCGTAGTTCCTTTAATGCTGAATAGTTTCACTACATTTAGTATTGTGAAATAGCCCTGGTTTTGTGATCCTGCCTTTTATCATCATATTGTTCTGCTGGATATTTGTCAACAATAATTCTGGTTATAGGATAATGTGTAATGATTGTGTGTGTGTGTGTGTGTTTATATATATGCACCATAGTGAATATCTGGTTGCTGCTGTGTACTGAAGCAAAATCAAAATCAAATATAGAGTAAAACATCGAACATACACCATTAGTGAGTGAGTGAGAAGAGAGAGAGAGAGAGAGAGAGAGGGAGAGAGACCAGACGTAGATACTATCGTTAGTCTACTGTCACTCGTTACTTATGAGTTACAACCTGAAAGTACAATTATGTTGTATATCAGTATGGTCTAAGCATCAGCCTTTATGAAATTAGATTTCTTCACATTCCTGGCGCTGTATGTTCACATTACGACATCTAGCATATGGCTAAGAGCACATTAAATTCTGTCAGGAACGGAGGGATGACTGCGTAAGAAAGGCATCTCTTACTCCATTCCTTCCTAAAGTTAGGAATGGCGGGATGAAACTCCTCCCTTGTTAGACTGAGTGCTCCTTAGATTGATTGGGGTATTCGATCACTACCTCTCTAGAGCTCCCCCACGCTTTATGGGCTATGGGGGGAGCAGGAAGGACTAGGATGACTGAAGAATGATTTGTCATTGGGGCCTGGATGGTCATCGGGGCACCATTTGGGAAATTGTCATCTCATTGATGGAAAAGACCTCTTTCTCCGATGTATTCTCCACATTTTTATCCGTGTATGATGAAAAAGCGGGCCTTCTAGGAGTAGCTATTGATCCAGTTTCATTTTTCAGCATTGAAGAAATTTCCAACATTGATGGTCTATCCAGCCCGTTTTCTTGAACGCACAACAAAGCAACTAGCATGCATCTCATGAGTTTGCAAGACGAAGATGCATCATCCAGTGTTGGATCCATAAACTCCTTTCCTTTACCATCCTTCCACAGCTCATATGCCTGCAATAGTTCATCATGTTATGTGTGTGGGAACTCAAATAGGAACAATAATGACTCAAAAACCTATCAAACTAACTTACATATTCAAGAAGATTTAAGTTGTCATAAACACCGTAAAGGCAGTTATTCCTTTTGCCACTTATGATTTGCAGAAGTAGGACTCCAAAACTGTATATGTCATATTTCGTGGAGTATACACCTCGTTTTACATATTCAGGAGGGACATAACCGCTGCATGATATAAATAAAAAATGCTAAGCAATTGATAACTAATAAAAAGTGCATGCGATATAGCTTTGAGAGGAAGTTTACTTACTATGTTCCAACAATCCTGTCTGTGTTTGCTTCATATTCATCTTTTTGGAAAATTCTTGCTAGGCCAAAATCCGATATCTTTGGCTTCATCTCATTGTCTAGTAAAATGTTGCTAGCCTTCAAATCCCTGTGAATTATTATTAATCTCGAGTATTCTTGGAGATAGAGAAGACCTTGAGTAATCCCTTCAATGATTTGAACCCTTGTTTCCCAATCTAACAGCATTCTGCTCATTGGATCTGCATTTAGATCAAATGAAGTTTCTCTAATGGTGACACCCAGATGATAACATTTATGGTATGAAGGACACTGTAATCATTCTCCAGAACAAATTATAATGAGGAGGAACGAAGCCACAGTTAATATATTGGTGCAATAATAAAAATAAACGACACCTAGTTTAGTCCCCATTAATGATGGCATGTGAGATTAGTCCCGTACACATCATAAACAGTGGCCACTCTACATCCTTTTGCCACAATATTTGGCTTTCAGTACACTAATCTCTTTCGCTATGCAGTATTCTGAGAGTAACTATTCTTGTGCAAACGTAAAAGTTAAAAGGCCTTAATCATGGAAAGCAACTACAGTTACAGAGTTTATGAGCCCTGGTATTGAGGGTCAGTTGCCCAAGAAAATATTGTTTCCTGGGGGTGACACTTCCTTTAAGAAAAGAGGGACAGAATTAAAGATCACATCAAATATTCCCATTTAATGTTTTTTGGCACTAATCTCCTTAGTTTCACTCTTTAGTGACATTGACTAGATCAACAAAGCGTTGCTATGATTGCACCAAAATACTGGGGCTCATAACCGCTGCAAATATAGTAGGTTTCCATGATCATGCCTTTGAGTTTTTAACTTTTTCTGTGGGTAACAATAATAACTTTCAGAACACTGCATAGCACAAAGGATTAGCGTAGTGAAAGCCAAATATTGTGGACTGATACTACATCGTAACTCATAAGGCAGTGATCTTAGGCAGGACTACAAAGTCGAAACCTGAATTAAGTTCACTCATGCTTGTCAAGTTAAAGAAGCATGAAGGATTGCATACCATAGAGGTAGAAATCCAAGCTTTTGTTTGGCATGTACTCATAGATCAGCATCTTTTCTTCCCTTCCAGTGCAACAACCCAAAACTCTTACCAGATTTATATGTTGCAGCTTTGCGGTAAGTGTAACCTCATTTGTGAACTCCTCAAGTCCTTGATGAGAACTCTTTGAAAGTCTCTTCACCGCAATTTCCAGTCCATTGGGTAATTTACCCTAGTCAAACCATGGAGATGATTAGTATGTTTTGAGAAACATAAGCAATGCATATTAAATTGAATAATGTCTTTCATAGTTGCAACAATAATGCGACTAAGCAAAGCTCATTATTTTTTTGGCAGTAGTAAAGCTAATACCTATAAGTCTTTTAAGAAACTAAAAATATTTGGATTTTAATTATATTCTCTTCCATGTTTAGAGTATGGTTTGAGGAAGGAGGGAAATTCTGAGACAGTACAAAAGGATTAGATAGCTTATTATTATATTGAATATATCGCCTTTGATAGAGTATAGTGAAGAAACAAGATCCATGTAACTAACCCCAAATAGTTGGGGTAAAGCCTTTGCTGAAATGAGTTGGGTTGAGTATGTTTTCACAAGACTAAATATTGTCGTGAAAAAGTACCTAAAGAAAGTTGTTCAAAGAATTATTCAACGTCAACATAGGAGTCTTTAGAATGACTCTGGGGATTACTATGAGTGGGTTGGGAGAATATATGATATTATAAAAAATCTTGTCCAATTTTCGTGGAAGTGACAATAGAAGATTGAGTTCAATCTTATTTCAAATGCTTTCAGCTGCAAAGATGGCATCTATCATAGTATATCTCTAACGGACAATTATAAACAAGGTTAGCAGTTGGACTAATGGCCACTGCCCCTACCCTGTGGTTGGACCTTAAGGTCACAGGTTCGAGCCTCGTCGGCCCCACCCTGTGATAGTGGGTAACCAAAGAAACAAACAGGCAACTATAAACACTGATTGTTTTCCAAAATATTACCTTGTAAACAGGCCCAAAACCACCCTCGCCAAGCTTATTTTCACTTGAAAAGTTATTTGTAGCTGCTTTGATGTCTGAAAATTTGAAAACTTGCACAGTAGGAGAGTTGCTATTTGAACTTTCTGCAGTTGACATATTGTTTTCTAATGTATCTGGTGATTTCTTCTTTGATAGAATCATCACTGCGAACAAAAAAAGGAAAAAAAAATATTTGTGTTGTTCCATTGTTGCTGTTTTTAATTTCTCATTTCGTGGTGCTATAGTGATGAAATCCACAGTTTGAAAGGTTACCTTTTGATTTGAGTCTCCTCCTCCACAAGTAACACATCAGTAAGCAAAATAGGAGAATAGCTGAAGCAATGATCAGCAGAATAATTACCAGGAATTGCTGCTTTTTGTGGTGATTATTCAAGTTGTCTTGAGCTGTAACACCTCACGTTGTATTAATCGGATGGTAACGTGTCACAACAAATCTTAATAACCAAATATCCTTTTTGTTCCTCTTTTAATGTAATTTTAAGTAAGAATTTTGAAGATTGTATCATATCGCTCTAGTTGGTTCATGAACATGTACAGTCTATATGTGGCAATATCTTGTTGCATTGATTTCTTAATTGAAATTAACATTTTGTCTCTTCTAAAGCAAGTCCAATTAGAGGGCAGTTATGAAAATGAGTTGGACTTAATGCTCATGAACAGAAGCATCCCTCCCCAGTAGGCATCTTATGCGAAATACTGTGTAGGAGAAGTTTTCATCTGGATTTTCCTTAAAAACCTTAGTTTCCATTGTCTCTTCTTAAGCAAAAGTGCAATGATGTGCATATCATGGACAATAGTATCTGTACCATAGAATTTTTTTAGATGCCGGTTGAATTTAGCAGCCATGGATATCAAAAGACTACCTAGACAGAAATATTTGGATAATACATAGGCCTGTCTCAATACCTGAGCAGCTACTTCCTTATCAGATACAGATAGTATTAAGTGAACACACCTGCCTGAGAGAGCATCCAGTTGTCATCATTGGGGACTTGAAAGACATTGTAGCCAAGTAGCTTATTCTCCTTTACATAAGAAATTTTTGTTTTGATGGCCTCAACATCATCAAAACAAATCCAGAAGGAGCCAATGACACAGTAATTTACCACATAAGTAGCATTGTACACAGGAACAGCTCCATAACTTCTGATGTACCACTTGATGTACTTATAGCTCATGGATCCATCTGCTGTAATGGCCAGACCTAATGCCGGCGCACCCATAGTGTTGTTTTTGGGGTCTGCAAGTGTCCATGCGTAGCCATGGTATGGCAATCCCAAAACTAACTGGCTAGCTGGTAGTCCTTTACTGATCCATTCCTTTACACCAAAATCAGTACTTATGTTGCTTGATGGGTCATACAGAGCAGAATGGGCACCTGTGAATTTATCCCTTGAAGGTAAATAATAGTCGAATGATTTGACATGTACCCAATCTAAGTTCCTCTTTATTGAGTCAATTGGGTAAGTAATGGAGTCCAGAGTTGGTGTGTAATGAACAGCCATGGTCAAGCTCAGTTCTGACTCTCCTGATTTTCTTTTCAGAGAATTCACAGCAGATCGCCACTCGTCAAGGAGGATGGCCATATTGGTCATGTCTGAACCAGACTCTGGCGAAATCCACCAAAGGTCAAGGCCATGAAACCCGTAAAGCTGAGCTGTTTTTATCGAAGAGTCAATGAAAGATTTTCTGTAAGATGGTTGGCTTGCCATCGAAGACATGACTGAAGAGTTTGTTCTTGAACCCCATACAGATAGAAGAGTTTTAATCGACGGGTTTCTTTTCTTGACGATGGTGGTGAAGGTGGAAAAGTATGGTTGATTGGAAGGGGAGATGGAGAGCTCATGTGTAGAAGAGTTTATATCCGCAAAAGAACACATAAGGTGAGTGAAGAGAGCAGAATTTATGTCAGGGACAGGGAATTCACTGCCGGAATACCAGTAGCCGGATTTGATCCAGGTTTGTGCACTTGAGAAGTAGAGATTAAGAGAGAGAAACATGAAAATAATACTTCCAGATGCCATTTCATAGAGCTTGTTCATGCAAAGTGGCTTAAGGTTAGATTATTGATGATTCTCTTTTCTAGTTTGTGTTGATACTCTCAACATGTGGCTTGAAGCGTTTGATATTTTTAGGACCCCATACCTTTTTCACCAGATATCATCAAAATACTGCAGTTAGTTAAAACTCCAGTAAAGAAACAGTATACGTTGTGTCTCGATTTACCATGTATTGCACCAATAGAGTCTGTTTGTTTTGCAGGATAATTATAAAAAATGCAATAGAATGGCTAAAGGGACATTGGAGTTTTGTGGGGTCCATCTATTTATTTGTTTTAATATTTTTTGTTAGTCATACCACATCCCTTTATCACGTAATATTACCGTTATAATGAATATTTTCTCCCATGATAGATGGGTAAAAGGGCATTGGAGCTATAATTTCAAGGTAAATAGAGAATACAACAGTTTATGCAAATATATAAAAAAAACAACAGTGCCAAAGACTTCCACATTTTCTTAGATGGTGCAGAATTTTGATTCTCATCCATTAATTTGTTATCACAAGTGTCAGTTGGTTAATGACTTTTTTTTTTTTTTTTGATAATTAAGAAAGGAGAGTGTTCAAAAATCACTCCGATAAACCCTCACTAGTAGAATCATGAGACCCTTAATCACACTCGTTACTTCTCTCAAAAATGAACTTAGTTATGTTAGCATAGTAATTAATCATCGAGCTCCAAATATAAACTCTAAGATTCGAACTTCTAACTTCAAGGTGAGAAGTTCGACTGAAACCTTATTGGACCATCCCAGTGGGTGATCAGTTGGTTAATGACTGTCATTCATCATACTCAATTTGAATTGGGTGCACAACTTAGACACATTAGTGGAGAGCTTAATTCCAACTCGACTCACCTAATAAATACTCAATTTGAATTCAACCGATTTAATCAAACCCGTATTGTCGGTGCTTAAATTTTTGAACTCAAGAGTACAAATATCAAAGGCTACCATATTGTCTTAACCGATCAGGAATTGATCTCCATCCATTAATTTGTTATCACAAAATGTTTGGTTGGTTGGTTAATGTCCTTCTCAGTTTTATGGTCGAGGATTAAAATTTCGTATTGAAATGGTTAAAATATTCAAACGTTGTCGTTTTCAAAAAAATTAAACGAATTAGTGATGAAAGCGAAATTCTAATATTTTGAAGCATTCCATAATACTTCAAAATATTTTTGTTATATTTCAATACATTTTTACAATTATTTCGAAATGTTTCAAGGTATTTCAAGATATTTTGATATATTTCGATTAATATTTTATAAAAATATGTTTATTTTTTTATTTTTCATTTTAATCTGAGACAGGTCAAAACATTTTTAAAATTTTGATCATTATTTTAGGTGCGGAGGACTTTTCGAAATTTGCATGTAAATTTTTGTTTTCACTCTGTACGTCAGGAATTGATATTCAGCCAATTCAATGGTACCATGTTTCATTGTGGCACCCACCAAACGTCACAATTTCAGGTGCCAAACCAAGTCAAGCAAAGATGTAGATTGACTTGTTGAAAGACCGTAAAAGAGAAACGAGAAAATGTTATTTTTTTCAGTGTCATATAAATATAAATAGGGTAGGTTACGAAAAAAAGAGATCGAATAGAACCAATCAAGAAAAATTGGTAGCAATCCTAGTAGGCTGTTAATTAAATTGAACTATTTGAGTTTGGTTCGGATTCGATTCGTTCAGGCTCGGTTCATTTTATAAACGAGTCTAAACTTAAACAAGTTTTTAGATTTGTTTAAAAAATAATTTCTACAAGATCGGCTCAAACTCAACATACTCAATTCGTTTTTGTGTAAATACTCCGGCTCAACTTATTTTTGACTCGTTCAGGCTCGACTCATTTTCAAAACGAGTCAAACTTGAACAATTTATTAAACTCGCTTAAAAAATAAATTTTTCAAACTCAGCTCAAACTCGACTCGAGTTTGTTCGACTAACAACCCCAAATCCTAGCATGTCATTGAGTTATACATTAACATCTTGGAATTATAACTTGACCCGAGTAAGTTGTAATCAAATTTGGAAGTCAAATATATTTTACATCCTATAACGACATACAATGCCCTAAAAGATTAGAGAATATTGAATACAATGGTAATACCATATCAATATTGATAATATGGTATCGTCAACTAAAATACATTGAAGTATTACATGGATGGATAATTATTGTCATGTGTGGGGTCTACTTTTTTATTTGTCTGCATATTATTAGTTGATAATATCACGTAACAATACTGACATAATATCACCATTACGATGAATATTTTTTCCTCTCTTCTTCTCACTTTGCATTGACCACTTTACCACAATTTTACTCCTCAACTTACTCAGTTTCTATTCTCTTTTTAACCCCCTATGGCTTTCTCTTTCTTCTTTCTTCTTTCTTCTTTAATAGATCAAGTAAACTGACTTATGTGGTTAGAAGGGCTTGGAGGACGCTGTCTATATCGCTCAGGGGATGATGGGTGTAGGGACACAGGAATGAATGGTGTGGTGGAAAAAAAATGCATAAATTTCGTATGTTACACCGGTCTTCGTCAAGAAATTTATATGCAATTTCATATGACATGCCTATTTACATCACATGGAACGTAACAGCTTACGATATATTTACCTTTTAATGTCGCAAGTCTATATAAATATACTTAAAGATTAAATTTTTATTTTGGTGCATTGTTTTGATCACAAACAAATATATTTCAAAAATAGAATGAAAATAGATAAAACAAAAAAAAATAGGAAATTTATTTTAAAAACATTATAAAATATTGCTCAATATATACCGAAACATCTTAAAACAACTTAAAACATTCCTAAATATTGATGGAAATACGTTGAAACACCTCAAACTTGGAAATCTAATACATCTTACATCCCATAACAACATACAATGCCCTAAAAGATCAAAGAATATTGAATATAACGGTGATACCATATCAAAATTGATAATATTAGTTTATAATATCATGTAACAATACTGACGTAATATCACCGTTGCAATAAATATTTTTTCCTGAAGGACCTCTAGATTCTTATTCTCACTTTGCATTAACTACTTTACCACAATTTTGCTCCTCAACTTGGTTTCTATTCTCTTTTTAACCCCTATAGCTTTCTCTTTCTTCTTCTCGACCCCTAAAATAATAGATCAACTAAACTGACTTTCGTGGATAGAAGGGCTTTGAGGACGCTGTCTATATCGCTTAGGGGATGACAGGTGTAGGGACACTGGAATTAATGGTGTGGTGAAAAAAAAAGCATAAATTTCGTGTGTTACACGGGTCTTCGTCAAGAAATTTATATGAAATTTCATATGACGTGCCTATTTAAATCACATGTAACGTAACAACTTACGATATATTTACCTTTTAATGTCGCAAGTCTATATAAATATACTTAAAGATTAAATTTTTATTTTGGTGTATTGTTTTAATCACAAACAAATATATTTTAGAAATAGAATGAAAATATATAAAACAAAAAAATTGAAAATTTATTTTAAAAATATTATAAAATATTGCTCAATATATATCAAAATATCTTAAAACAACTTAAAACATTCCTAAATATTGATTAAAAAATGTAAAAACACCTCAAATTTGGAAATCCAATATATCTTACATCCTATGACAACGTACAATGCCCTATAAGATCAGAGAATATTGAATATAACAATGATTCTATATGATATCGCCAACTTAAATAAATCGAAGTATTACATGGACGGATAGTTATTGACATGTGTGGTGTCCATTTTCTTATTTGTCTGTATATTATTAATTGATAATATTACCTGATAATGTTGACATAGTATCACTGTTGAAATGAATATTTTTTCCTAAAGGACCTCTAAATTCTTATTCTCACTTTGCATTAACCACTTTACAACAATTTTGATCCTCAACTTACTCGGTGTCTATTCTCTTTTTAACCGCTATAGCTTTCACATTTAACGTAGCAGCTTAGGATGTATTTACCTTTTAATGTCGCAAGTCAATATAAATATACTTAAAGATTAAATTTTTATTTTGGTGCAATGTTTTGATCACAAACAAATATATTTCGAAAATAGAATGAAAACAGACAAAAGGAAAAAAAGGAAATTTATTTTAAAAACATTATAAAATATTACTCAACTACTGATTCCCTCCGTGCTTGAAGGTACGGAATAATAAAAAAAATGTTCAACAATAAACATATTTGTATTCACACTCAAAATCAAATCATAAATATAAAAAAAAAAAAAAAAAGATTTTAAGCACCAACTGTAGTGAGATTGAGCAGTGGTAATGGTGATGGTTGTGGTGGGTGGCAACGATCATGGTGATGGTGGTGGCAGTCGTGGGGTGGCAACAGTAATGGTGGTGGTGGATTTTTGGTGACAATGGTGGTAGCAGCTGTGGGTAACAGTTGTGGTGAAGGTGGTGGTGGTGGTGGGTGTGGGTGGTGATGAACGACAGTGATAATGATTGACAGTAGTAGTGGTGGACGATGACAATGGTAGTGGACGACAATGTAATGGGTGGTGATAATAATGGTGGTGGTGGCAAGTGTGGTAAGGGTAAGTGACAGTGGGTGGTTGAAGTGGTGGACGATGACAGGTGGTGATGGTGGTTGAAAGTGGTGATGATGGGGCGGTGACAATAGTGGTGGTGGACGATGATGCGTGCTTTTAAGTAACAATGTGATGGGTGGTGGTGAAGGGTAGTGGCAAGTGTGGTGAGGATAGGTGATAGTGGGTGGTTGTAGTGATGGACGATAACGAGTGGTGGTGGTAGGGGTGGGTGACAGTGGCTGATGGCGATGGTGGGCGATGATGGGTGGTGGTTGGTGTTGATGGTGGACAATGGTGACAGTGGAATGATGGTGATAATGGTAATAAATATAAAAATAAGGTGACGATAGTGATGGGTGGTAAGGGTGGATGATGATGGTAGCAATCATGGTGGGTGGCGATGGTGACGGGTGGTGACGGTGGACGACGATGGTAGAAATCGTGGTGATGGTGGTGG